AGCTAATTTAAAGGAACATAGTTTCACTGATATGAAGCAAAGGCTAAAGTGCCCTTAGATGCCAAAAACCAATCCATACAATTTCTTTGGATCAGAGCCTGGCATAGCAGTTCACTTTGTTGTATACAATTCTTTTTCATTGTACATATTAAATGCTTTACACATAAAAGAATTATGGGAAGATGTAAGACATGTTAATTTTACAGGGTGCCTCCAATCTGCTGTAGACCATCATCATGTCATCACCTCGCTTAAAGAATAAATGTTTGTACATTAGGTGAACACAGAACTTAATCTCTAAGATAAGAAGACTACATTATCACCTTTTTAAAACAGCAAAGTAACAAATTATTTTCTAATCTGAAACATTTCTAGAATAAATAGGGGAAGAAGAAAAAGATGAGGGGAAGAAGAAGAGGGAGGAAGGCAAGGAGAATGGAGGGAGGGGAAGAGGTATCAAAGTGTTCATACTGCCTTCCTTTATTGAAGCAGTTTCCGGTTGTACCTCATGAGTGTGGCTACAGCTTTAAGACAAAAAAAATGAGGGGTCCAGATAGTCCACAGACATTGGGGGAGGGGCAGGGGAGCAAGGAGGAAAGAAACTACACTAGCAGAAGTCAGAGCCCAGTGAAGATACCATGCAAAGGTGGCTTAATATCCTTTGGGCAGAGAATAAGGAGCAGCAGACACTTTCAACTGTTTGCCACCATAACTCCCCCACCCTTAGTATCAGGATTGAAAATTAGGCCTAACTCAAAGAAGGCTGTCACTCTTGGTTTTGGCAAGATCCTAAAATCACCATACATTTATTCATTTATATAAGCATTTACTGATAACCTGTGTGCCAGGCTTTAATATATACCTTTTTATATACTTAAACAGGTAATACCCTGTTTTACTCAGACCATACTGAATAATTTGCTATATTTGTTATTTATTATTTTTGAAAAAGATACCAACTTTGGAGTAATTCAAACAAATTAAGACCTAATTATGGTTTTAATTTGCATATACTCTAACTTCCCAAATCTACTTCCCACCTGTATTTCCAGACTATGTTATTAAACCTTGTTTAACGGACAGCAGGAAAAATGAAAGTGTAATTTCCTAAAAATGTGCTGTGTCATGAAGCAAGATGATCACGATGGAAAGCCAGATGCTGCCATTAGCTAACTCTTCAAGGCTTACTCTGAGGCCTGTACCTTGTTGGCAGTCTCTGGTGTTGGGGACCTTCATTCCTGCTCCAGCTGGAGGGCTTGGTGCCAGCAACCTTAAGGTTTCTGGGCTAGGAACATCTGCTTTATCTTAAGAAAGCTCTACAGATCAACCAGTAGCAGAAGTAGTGGGGAGGCAGCCACCTCTAAACCAGGGCAATGTAATTTTGAGCTAGAATTGAGGCATGTGCGTATGTGCTAAGAGCCAGACACCGGGCTGTTCCCAGGGTTAACGTTCTCTGTCTCTGGTGCAGGGTGCTAAGGCGACAGATCAGAGTGTGGAGAAAGCTGCATGTCCAGCTTTGACAGGCCAGATTTTAATGAAGTGAAAAGCCTCTTTCCAGACTTCAAATATTTCTGCTTTCAAGTCATAAGTTGGACTTGAGGCAGAGGGCCTGAGTTTGAATCTAAACTCTATCACTTACTTTCTATATGGGCTCAGTTTCCTCATGTGTCAAATGGGAAACATATAGATTGTGATTAAAATCACAAATAAAGTGAAGATAAAAGTGTAAAAGATAAGCCTCTGAGTGGCACATAGTGGATACTCATGAAGGTGTGCTGAATCTGAATTCTGATGGCTGCTCTCTCTGTACAAGTGTGCTCCTGTGTTATGGCTTTGCACCTTTCCCCTATCCCAGTAAATCTGAAGTCAATTATCTAAGTCCTAGATTTCCAACTGGAATCACAAGAAGAAGAAAGAACTATGCAAACATACGAAGAGCTTCCCCACTGCGTGCCTCTAAATAAATTTTGTGATTTTTTTTTTTTTAATGGAATCTTGCTCTGTCACTCAGGCTGGAGTGCAGGGGTGCAATCTCGGCTCACTACAAACTCCGCCTGCCACCATGCCCAGCTAATTTTTGTATTTTTAGTAGAGACGGCGTTTCGTCATGTTGGCCAGGCTGATTTCGAACTCCTGACCTCAGGTGATCCACCTGTCTTGGCCTCCCAAAGTGCTGGGATTATAGGCATGAGCCACCGTGCCAGGCCATGTGATTCTTAAAGTTACATCCTTTAAAAAAAAATTGCATTTTTGCTACACTTTGGACATATATGTTTCTCTGCATACAGGTCCCACAGATTTCTGATGCAAACTAAAAGGCAGTACAAATCTGGTAAAATCTGATTGTCTGAAGCCTCTCAATCTTTCTCCTCCTTTTGGGAGGTGAGGATAGAACAGGGGAATAGGATTTGAAGCAGGAGCGTCATCATTTATAATATCCTTTAGAACCAGAGACTGCCATACTGATGATAGTGTAGTCGTATGTGCGAGGGCTGGCATGCCCAGGAAGCTGTTACTGCTCTCTGCAGGCTGAGGCTCTCTACTGTAAAAATGGAACTTTAGTCTCTTAGCTGAAGGGAGGAAGCACTTGAATAATCCCAGTACTCCCTGGAGCCCAGGGAAGAATTGGAGAGTCTTCCAAAGGGCATAAGAGGAAGCCAGGTATCATGTCTATTACAAACACTGGCAAATAATGTGACCTTACAGAGTTTTTAAGAGACCACAACATTGGAAGGCATTATGGTAAAGTAATGTACCTTGGAAGTAGCTTTTTATGACAAACACTCAAATTTTTAATTACTGAGGTCCAACATATAGATTGTGATTAAAATCACAAATAAAGCTTCAGCTAAAATCACCGTTTTGTTAAATAGAAACAGCCAGGGAAATAGTGAGTGGAAGTGGTTGCTTCATTTCCTGCACTAACATCATGGAATATGGAGAGATATATTTTCCTCCAGGATAGAAACTTAATGAAGTATAGAGAAATTTGCTGAGACTCTTATTAAAATGGATCTTACTTAAAATTCTAAAGCACAGCTTTTAGACTTTAAACAATCAAGACTCCGTATTTGGAAGGCATTAGGAAATAAAGCCACTTTTCAGTGGACTGAGAGGAACACCCTGAAGCAAGTTTGGCAGAAGTTTCCCTTGGATAATAGAGAGGGAGTGTATCAAGTAATTCCAGGTTTTATGCTGTGCTTGGTGCAGTATTGGCCATAGAACAAGTGTTAAATAAAATAATAGCAACATATGACATGGAAAGCCTGATTGATTCTCCCATTCTTACTGCTAAACCCACATACCAGATGGTAATATACACCCATAATCAAGCACAGAGCTCGCGTGGGCTGGGGGTTGGCAGCTCTGAGTCAGGTGGGCTGCCTTGTCTCTGGACGTCTTGTGGTGGGGCTGCACAAGCCCCACCAACAGCTTACTAGGGGCAGCGCCGGTGCCTTTGAGCGCTCAGAGAACCCATGAATGGATAATCCATGAATGATACTGAATTCCTTCAAAGATGTACAAAATGACATCGGCTCCCTTTACCATGAGAAGAAGTGACTTTCTAATAAGATCTGTAAATAAACAGAGGCACCTCAGCTAGAACAAGCACAGTTAGTTGCTGATGAGACACTTGGAAGTATTTATTGGCTCTTTAAAAAAAACTTACCTCAAAGACATTATGCTGAGTGAAATAAGCCAACCAAAAGAACAAATACAGAATGATTCCACTTAAAAGGGGTATCTAGAGGAGACAAATTCACAGACGGAAAGTAGAAACGTGGTTGCCAGGGGTTGAGGGCAGGTTGCCAAGAATGGGGAGTTATTTTTTAATGTGTTTGGAGTTTAGGTTTTGCAAGATGGAAAGAGTCTTGTGGGTGGATGGTGGTGACAGTGGCACAGCAAAGTGAATGTACTTAAGGCCCCTAACTGTACATATAAGAATGGTTAAGATGGTAAATTTTATGTTATGTGTATTCTACCACAATTTCAAAATATATAAACAATATAGACATAAAAATCTAGTAAGTACTTATTTCTTCTGATGATCAGTAAAAACCACGGTGATCTTTCTCCCATCATAAAATAATAGCAGATGCATTTTGAAGCATTTAAAGGCAGTCTTCCAACACTCTAATATAGGTGTTGGTTCCCCTAGAAAGTGAGCTCATCTAGGGCAGAGTGATATTGTCCTGATCTTTATGTCCTTGCGACTTTGCAAAGGTCCTTGAAGCATGAGAGTCATAGCATCCCTGGGCTTCTATTATTAAGGCAACCCAAATGTTAAATAGACTCTTCAGTTGCACCAAAAATCAAGTTTTCAGAAATCAGACCACTTACAAAGCAATTGAATTCAGTGTGAGGAGAAATGTATTTCTCTTTGAGATTTGAAGTTATATACATCAAACTTCAAAGAACACCAGAGCATTCTTTCATGCTGCATATGGTTTTTGAACTGAAGAGCTCAAACCCCTGGTGCTATGACCTCAAGTTTCCCTGCAACTGTGACCTGGGACATCAAACTTCAGGTTGGACCAAGCCTTGTGTGTGTTTGTCATTGACTCAGCAGAGAAGAACCTGATCAATAACCACCTGAAAGAAGATACTAGTTACATCTAAAAATGAAGCTCATGTTTGCATGATCAAAGCAGCTTCTCAGGGAACCTCACTCCTTTCATTGATTATATTTCTGAATAGGGACACAGATGGCTCCCAAAACATTTCTCACTTGAAATTCTAGATGAGGTTGCTTCTCTTGCATTTATGGATTCCACCATGTAATTAAAGTTTTACGGAGTATCTTTGTGTATTAAGGGTTTTTGTTTCCCCAGTAATGTCTCCTAAGTCACTTTTGCAGTAAAAATGTCATATTTTGTTAGTAAATTTGGACTAGATCCTATGTTGAACACATTGTCTTTGTCAACCACAAACTGTTAGCAAACACTTCCTGGGTGAAATATGTTTGCAATTCATAATTAATTGATTGGCCGAATAGCTACGGATTGCGTAAAAAATTATTTATTGAAGTGGGTCTTATTATAACTGTATTGCACTTTCCTCTTTGTTGACAAAAGCTCACATTATGGCCTCCAAACACAGCATTTTTGTTTTTAACCTCAAAGTGGGGACAGAAGAAGTGGTTGCTGGCTGTCCTCTGGGTTAGTGATTTATAGGATTAATTGTCCATTCATTTTACACCCTCAGTTCATCCAGTTTTCAGCTCAACAAAAGCACATCTTGTTTCATTTAGAGACATGTTCACTATAGGAGGAGAGGAAAAAGCAAGAAGATTCATGAACGATTCTGGCCATTAACAAACATCTTCCAAGCCAACCATTCAGGCCAATTCTAAACTCCGTTGCTGTGTGTGGGAACATGAAGTAGAGTCTCCATTTTACTAAGTTAAAAATCACTAAAGAGTTTGATATATTGCCCAAATTTCAACATGTTTTAGAATCATAGAGGTGTTTACTACAAGGGATATCAGAGATCATCACGTTCAGTGATTCCCATTCTTGGTGTCATATGAAAATCACCTGAGGCACTTTTTAGCACTTTTAAAATGTGCTAATGCATAGATCCTACTCCCAGAGATTCTTATTTAACTGACCTTAGGATGCATTATTTAAAAGTTTTTTTATTTAATTTCTTAAATAGCCTTTAAAGAAGTTTTTCAGGTAATTCTATTGCATTCCCTTCTCTCCTTGCACAGGTCTGGCACATAATTAGTTTTCAATGAATATGTATTAAATGCATGACTGAATAGAGATAAATATGAGGCAACACATTATTTCCACATATGGAATTTTATAGAGATGGAATAAAATAAAGAGCCAGAAACAACCATGACAGTTTTTGAAGTTTGAAAATTTCTGAAATTCCAGAAACTTCCCATTTTCTTCCTAAAATGTCAAATCTCCTCATCATCACTCTAAGTCTCTTTTTCCCAGAATCCTCAACTAAAACCACCAGGCAGGGTGTAAGATAGAGACAAGGAGGGATGGCTTTGCCTGTGAAGACTTTTAAAGACAATAATAAACCAACCAAAACTAACAAAAAAAAAAAAAAAGTTTTTCAAGTACTTGTACTATGTAGCCAGGGTTGAGAATCACTGATATAGCTCAACCTGCTGCCTGCCTCATTTACAGAGAGAGGAAGGAAAGTGATTTGCTGAAAGCTGCAAGGAGACTGGCAGCAGTATGCAAGCAGGGACTTCTACATCCTAAATCTAGTACTTGAATCTTCTTGAAAATTTCTTCTACAGTATTCTGCCTCCAATTCTGTTCTATGGAAAGTGCAAAAACACAAGTAGAGTACTATCAAGTAGGTGATTTTCATTCAACCTAGACTAATTCCAAATTGGGATTAAAGGTCAACTAGAAAGTTTATTTTAGTTTTCATTTCAAGACCTGAATCATGATTAATCCAAAAGATGAAAAAATTCTATCTATGGTGAGGACTCTGCCAAAGGAAGACAAACAAAAGTCGGTGTGTGCCCTGAAGTATTACATACTTGTAAAATTATTATTATTATTTTTTGTAGAGACAGGGTCTCACTATATTGCCCAGACTGCTCTCAAGCAATCTTCTTGCCTCAGTTTCCCAAGGTGCTAGGAGTACAGATGTAAGCTGCCATGCCTAGCCATTAAAATTAAACAGATTAATCAGAGGCATGAAGTTTAAAGAAGAGAAGAAAACAAAATGAAATAATAGGAGTGGTTGTAATGAATGCTGGCCTTGGACTGATTCTAAAGATGATGCCCTTCTGTTGTAAAACTCAAGTAATGAAAGCTTAGGAGAAAATGCAAAGGGCCAATAAATATGTGAAAAGATGGTAGGTCTCACCAGTGGTCAGAAAAATAAAAATTAAATTGCAATTTAATCAAAAAGATTAAGAAAAAGTAAAAAGATGATCACACAAGCCTGGCGAAGATGTGGGGAAAAACACAATCTGATGTACATTTGGGAACTGTGTTGCTTCCAGAAAGAATCTGAACAACAGGAACGTGTAGGGTGCAAAAGATTCTGGGAGAGGAAGTCGTTGGGAAACATCTGTCATCAACTGTCATTGCCATTTAGATAGCTGAGCCAGCATATTTAGGTCCTTGTGTAGTGAGCATGGACATTTTCTAAATCAGCACCTGAGAAGCTCAGCAGCACTCGGGCTGCTTTCCCTGTGTTTTGCCTCCTGCTCACATCCAGAGTCCACTCCAGCAGCAGATCTCAGGGTTATCCAACTGGAAAAAGCAATGCTTACTCAGCCGGGTCTATCTGGAAATCCTCATCATCTTGCAAGTCAACAAGCCCTACCCTCCTGGATAGCAGACTTCCCACCAGGTTGGTTGCTGCCTACTGTTTACTGAGGGCATAGTACTAGGTATAGCATTTCACTTGCTCATATTGTCATTTTGTCCTCCAACAATCCTACAAAATAATAATTGTTTACATCCTTATTTTATATACGAGAAAACTGAGGTCCAGAAAGTTTAAATGTCTCTCCTAAGGACACCCAGCATGTAATTAGCAATAAAGATCCTCATTTTTCTGGTTTAGGAGTCTTACCCAGATGTAAATGAGTAGTTTGGGGAATTAAGGCGTATTTACTTTTCTACCACTTTCCTCCTTAGGGGGACATTGTATCTGAACAGATTCTTGTGGAACTGGCTAGTGGGTGGGAGGCTAGCCCAGGTCTAGTGACACCTGCACCTGAGCCTGAGTCCCCAGCTGGCATCCTCTTATCCCTGAGGCACTGCATCCTTCCCTGCCAGGGTCACTGCCAACCCCTTCTGCATGTTGGTGCCTGTGCCACCTCCACTGCCATTGCTGCCACCTGCTGGAGTCTGGCCTCTCTGTCCAAGTTGGTGTCAGGGGCCATACCAAGGCCCTTCTAGTGCTCTAACTTTGATGCATTATACCCTCTGCTTCTTCTGGGAAAATGGTCACAATTTCAACATGTTCACCCCACTTTACTCTCTTAAATTTGGGCCCTTAGGGCTGCCACCTATCAGTTCCCTCCCTGTGTCCCATGGAGAAGAAGAGAGAAGCTTTCCTCCTCCTATGGCAGAGTTTATGCTATCCCTTCTCTCATAGACTTGCCAGGAGAGGCAATACAATAGTTCATGCATACTGAAGAGACTTTGACCCCACCAAGATTCCCAGTCTCTTGATATGGATGTGGCACAGTGCACCTAGGCTTATGGTGCTTGGCCCAGGCATTCACCAATCAAACTTTAGGAGAATCTTTCATGAACATGAATCAACAGTGAAAAATATCAAGGTTGATACTGGCCCACCCCTAACTTTGAACAAAGAATCAGGGCACTTGGTATCATGAAGAATTGCTTCAAGGAGATTAACCAAGAAAATCAGAACTTCAGGACTTCCCACGCCTGAGCCCAGGCCAGGTAACTGGGATGGGGGTAGGGGAACATCCGCAGGAGCCCTCTGACATTATTGGGGCATCCCCTGTCCAGAATGGGCTCCTAGGAGGCAGAAAGGAACAGGTCTTGGGGAGAAGGTGCCACAAAGGGAAGGCTGCGGGCCCCAGAAGCAGAGGAAGCAAAGCTCTAATGTGTGTTTGCACGAAGTGGAGGAAAGCAAGTTCACCTGCATGAGAGGCAGAGACTGAGAAATTAAAAAAAAAAAAAAGGTTGGAGGTAAAAGAAAAGGAACATGCTCTAACAGGAGAGATTTATTTTTTCTTTTAAACATTTTACAGAAAAGATAGAGAAGTGGGGAGGAGGGAGAACAGAGAAGTGAGACCGATGGGTCCCTTGTGGGAAGGGGCCCCCTCCGAGGAGATGGGCACCCAGGGACCCTGTGAAGTGGCTCGACGCCTCCACTCTGGGGCCTGGGATGACGGTCATCATGGGCAAGGCAGGTTGAGAGGCACGTTTGCTGATGCTTTTCCATGACTTCACCTTATCCTGAGCACCAGGTCAGAGGGCTGTTCCGAGGGAGCCGGGGAACGCCTAGAAGTCTGTACTTTCCCTTAGACACCCACTTTTCTTCCCATTAAGCAACTTGCACCCCTAGGCTAAGGTGTCTTCAACACAAAGATTACCTCAAGGTTAATTATTTAATTCTACAAACAAGAAAATTACCGTAGTAAAGGGAAATGTGAATAATCTATCTGAGAAAACAGATCTTGACTTTAAAAAGAGAAAATGGAAAACACCAAGTCTTACTTCAGCTATAAAAATGGCCCTTTTTTGATAAAATTTTGTATTTTGAAAAAGAAATAAATAAAATGGTCTTTGTGGACTCCTGTGGCCAAGCAGAAAGGGCACTGGACCAGGAGCAAAGCATTTACCTTCTGGCAATGGACCTGTCACACACCTGCTGGGTGACCGTGTGTGAGCTGTTTACTCTCTGGTCTTGTGAACTTCTCTGTAAAATGATGAAAGGATATTGAAGTTCCCCTCTGGATTTAACTTTCTATTTGTGTTATAAGTTTTTAAATTAAAAACTGTACAATGCTAATGGCATCATTATTAGAATATCTAGAAAGTATTTCCCAACATTGACAAGAAAATGAAGTGGCTGTAAGATTGCGTTTGTCATAATACATGTTAATTCACTTGCATTCTTTTGAAAGCCACTGTCACTTTTCATCACTCCTTTGATCATGCACTGTATTCACTCTTTCTCCTGGTAACTTTTTCCTTCCACAAATAGCATTAAAGCTGCTTCTTACTAGAATCTTTTTAAAAGGGGCAAAATATTTTCTCCAAAAAAATCCAACTAGGATCGACTATTTTGGGTAAAGCAATGAAAAAACAAATTTTAAGATTCAGTTTTGAGCAACAGTTTCCACCCCCTCTGCACATAATCATATAGTCACCTTCGTGCATTTTACTTTCCTTTGCATAGGTCTCCATGACCTCAGGCCTTAGTCCGCTAAGTAATTTTCCTCCCATCAAGCCCATTTCTACCAATGCTGCATGCACAGCATTACACTTTTTCTTTTCTAAAACACTGCTTCCACCCTTCACCATCTGTATTTATGCAGAATAAAGTCCAATACCTTGATGAACCCTCAGACCTTTCTTTCCGCACTGGTCTGTGTCTCTCTGAGCATCTTGAGCAACCTGCACTCCCTTACACAGCTTGTTTCAGCCTCTCAGAAGATTCCCTGTTCTAGGCACATTCCAGACCCTCCTCACTTACTTGAAATATCTCCCCCACCCCGCCCCCCGTTCACTCTGTCAATCAAATCCTAGTCATCTTTCCAAACTCAGCGGAGACCCCCACTCCCCTCTGTATAGGAGCTTTCCCTGAACTCTGCATCTTGAAGGGTGCTATCTCTGCTTTGTGAGGTCCACAGCCTGAAGCGTCAAAAGAAATGATCAAATTAGACTCAGCGATATTTCCCAATGGGGCTTGGATTTCCTTAGCAGGGTGAGTCCATTTTTAGTCGGCATGAGCATAAGGTCTGCCTAAAACATGGTCAGATGAGACAGGAGTCAGAGTACAAAAGGAGTCCCTGCCCAGTCTCCGCGGTACAGGGCTGGGGAAGCCTAGGGCAAGCCGGCTTCCTGGGAGTTGGAGAACTTGAGGAAGGGGCAGAGGCTGTGGGGCCTGGGATTGAAGGCAGGAATTCAGGTTGCACCAGTGGAGGCTGCTGTGGGTGGCTTCACCTTCACTCACCAAGTGTGGTCATCTGGGTCCCAACTCTTGTGGCTTTCTACCTTCTACCACCTCCACCCTTCAAAAAATCTTTTTAGAGTAATTAGAAGAAGTTTGGTGAAAGCTGAATTCCCTAAGGCCCTAAAGGTATGGCTACTTGGGTTTTTTCCCTCCAGGGTACAACATAATTTACTCTTAATCCTTGTTCTAATAGGCAAAAGGGAGCTTTTTGACACTCTGCAAGTGGTTGTTTGGCTGAGGCCTGATACCCACAGCATTCAGGTGACTTGCCTGGGTGATAATGAAAATGATAATATAATTAACACATTACAGAGCTCTTACCATCTGGTAGACATTGTTGTAAGTACTGTCACTCATTCATGTTTTTAAAGCTCATAAACCTTCAATATAATGTTTACCATTATCATTCCAGTTATATAATTGAGAAAACTTTTAGTGTCAAAAGATTAGCTGCTTTGCCCCAAGTCACACAGCTACTAAGTGTTAGAGTACAGCCCAATAACTAAGGTTTTCACTTTCTTTTGTTTCAACTTAGAGGAAGAGCCTTCGCCAAACCTTTTCTACCATGAAGCCAGGGGAGAGAAACTCACATATTTATAGGAGGCAGAGTCTTCAACACTCCCCTGACTTTTCCTCTTACGGCATCCTCCGGGATCTTAGGGCCTCTCATTACCTGAAATGTGAAAATGGCATGTTTAATTATTCATTTTCCATCACTCTTAATGAGGGGATTAACTGTCTAGTGAAACAAAAGGAAATAGTCTGACCTTCAGGCTGCATGGAAGTGATAATCACTAAAACCTCCACTCACTTTAAGCAGACAAGTGAAAGGATTTTACTGATCTGGATGCAAAGGGGCCATCGGGGTCACTAACTGAAGTCACGTAATGGAGCAATGACAATGAGAAAATAAACATGTGCTAAAAATAATATTTCCTTAATTATGTGCACAGGTGCTCTACAGGAGTTTTCAAAGCTCCTTTAACTTACCTGATGTCTTAGGGCTTTGAGCTTGGGTGGAGAAAGGGTAACAGGGCTGTGGCTTGCCGGGAAGACAGAGGAGGAGAGTCTGTGGGCATGGGGCAGGAGTCAATTCTGTCTCAGGTATGGAAGAGCATGAGGAAAGTGGAGGCTAATATAGAGATCTATTAATCACAACCTCAAGAACAACTGGTTCATTTTTCATTACTTAGTTGATTGGTTTGACCAAACGCTGCTGTGGGAATGATTCATGAACTATTCTGCTGCACGGCATGTAAACACAGCCTTCTGATCTAGACCTTTGCTATTAAAATGGTCATAAATAGCTGTGAAATACTACTGTTGTGCAACTCGTGACTTCATCGTGGCTTCTGGCAGAGCAGATGGGAGCCACATTCCAGGCCCTGCTGCAGTGCCTGTCTTTCCCGTAATATTTAATGAGCACAGGGTGGTTGGTGCTGCACAGATGACAAAATGGCATCCTCCTTGCCCTGTTCTCTTCCAAGACAAGACATTTTTAAAAGGCCATAAAGCCTTGAAAGTCTCCCCATACAGATACTGCGTGACCTATAAATATGCGTCTGCTCAAAATATGGCAAAATGCGTCACTATTAATAACTCCAAAGAGTCATGGGGATTCAGACAGTCCAATTCCTCTGCCAAAAGTTCAGAATGTTTGCTTAGTGCTTTGATTTTTTTCTTAAAACCCTGTTCTTGGTTTGCATCAGTACATTTTCTATTTAGATACTCCACCGAGTATGTGTCAAACTTTATCTTTGCCCTTACTAGGACATAAGAGAGCATACAAGACAGGAGTGGAAGGCCTTTAACGTTATTGGGGTTTTAAAAACTGTGCTTGCTTCACAAATATTTTCCATTTCTCTCTACCATAGCAACCATTACCTTCACCATATACGCAAAAATGGCTAAAGGGAAAGTGAGGAAACTCTTCTAAGTTACTTATACCGATAATTACATTGTATTATTACCTATTTCTTGAACAATAACTGTTTCCAGGCATGGTGCTCCTGTATGTCATTGCTAAGCCTCAATGTTAAGTTAATAATCAATCCTATGCACTAGGTGTTACTACCATTTCACACACCAAGACTCAGCAGTTAAGTGACTGGCCCATTGGACACACAAGTGACTCTCAGGACTGGAACCCAAACCCAAGGAAGGCTCTTTAGCTTGTGCCATAGGAAACCACCAGTAGTCAATCATCCTGACCAAAAATGGCAATTTTATGGTTCAACCTAATACCAAAATATGTTGCCCTGGAAGGAAATCTAGACTCTCCTCCTGATGTCACAAAGACTCTTTGTAGACTGCCACCATGTTGCAGGGAAAACTGTAGATACAGTACTGGGGGTAGAGGGATAGCAGAATGGGAATGTAGTTTATTATCTTTGCAGCAATTATTGTTATTATTACAAGTAAAGACATGATGTGAAACTGCAAAAAAGTGGCAAAGCCTGTCAATATATCTACATTTTTGGATACATGCTATCTGAAATATATTTACATTTTTAATATACTTCCTTTTTTGGATACATTCTATCTGAAAGTTTCCACATGTAATCATGCTCACCAGACTTTTCTAAGCATTGAAATGACTTCTAGTATTTAAAAGCTAATGATGTTAAAATATAATTTTGGTAGGCCATGTGTTTTAATGAACAGGTAGTTGATGAGTCTATAACATGGATGTATTAAAAGGATAATTTGGTAAGAGCAATTTAGTTTCTTGGGAACTACTTGGGAGTCAATAGATAGAAGCTATTGTTTAGGACAAATGATTTTTCGAGTTCTCTCTTAGAAATAATACATAATAAATTCAAATCTTCCTCTTTTTTTTTTTTTTTGAGATGGAGTTTCGCTCTTGTTGCCCAGGCTGGAATGCAATGGCACCATCTCGGCTCACTGCAACCTCCGCCTCCTGGGTCTAAACGATTCTCCTGCCTCAGCCTCCCAAGTAGCTGGGATTACAGGCATGCACTGCCACGCCCAGCTAATTTTGTATTTTTAGGAGAGACGAGGTTTCTCCATGTTGATCAGGCTGGCCTCGAGCTCCCAGCCTCAACTGATCTGCCTGTCTCGGCCTCCCAAAGTGCTGGGATTACAGGCGTGAGCCACCATGCCCAGACCAAATCTTCCTTTTAATTCAGTTTTTTCCATGTGATCCATGTTATAGTTTTCCCTATATAATCTCCACATCGTCAGAATGGGAAAGGGGGCTCATGATAATAATTGTATGTAATATAGAATGGTTACTGAACAGTGGGTTGTTAAGTACATAAAAATTGGGGAGACTTTGTGCTACAAGTTTTGGGGCAAAAGATAAACAATAGGAAAAGGCTCAGTCATTGAGTCTTAGAATGAGATTTCAGGCACTGAAGGAATCTCATTTTACTGAAAAAGAAACTAATGAACAAGAAAGCCCAATAAGTGACAGCTTCACTCACTGGTGGTATCACAGTGACTAGCATTTAGTTCTCTTGACTCCTGGACCAGTGCTCCTACCCACCGCCCAGCCCCACCCCAAACCATAGGTTGGTTCCAAGTAAACATGTCTTCTCCTTGAAACCATCTGGTATAGATAATAATAATAAAAGATGTGCCTAACAAATAATTATATTACAATACCAAGTATCCTAGGTGATATATTTAAGATGGAATGGAATAAAATAGATTCTTCATATTTGAAACAAGATGATCAAATAACTTTTTCTTTCTTTTTTTGAGATGGATCTCACTCTGTCACCCAGGCTAGAGTGCAGTGGCGCAATCTCGGCTCACTGCAACCTCCACCTCCTGGGTTCAGGCGATTCTCCTGCCTCAACTTCCTGAATAGCTGGGATTATAAGGCATGTGCCACCAAGCCCGGCTAATTTTTTTTATTTTTAGTAGACACGGGGTTTCACCATGCTGGCCACGCTGGTCTCAAAATCCTGACTTCAGATGATCTGCCCACCTCGGCCTCCCAAAGTACTGGGATGACAAGCGTAAGCCACCTTGCCTGGCCAATCAAATAACTTTTAAAGTCAACTTTTAAAGGCCAAGTGAAGAAGACATAGACTTATTACCACAATCCAGTCTGATTGGTCTTTCTTAGCGCCAGAAACTATGAAAATATTTCTTTTCTATACTACTTTTTCTAGACTTTATGTTTACCTCCTGTATGGAAGACATTAGATTTGAGATACTTAAGAGTACACTTGATTTCAGTTTCTGACTCAATATTTTGAACGGAAATCTGAACCAACACAAAGTTAATGATAGCTTTACTATATTACCTGTGAACCAAGCAAAATAAGTGAAAGGGAGAAGAAGTGCTTTAAATGCAAGAATTCCTAATATCTTTTTTAGTATAATGATAAGCACATATAAGAAAAAAGAAGACAAGAATATTCATTGATGGATGGATGGATGATTCAGTTGGTTTCTACATTAGCAATGACTCATGCTGTAAAATTGGAATGTTTAGAAAATAAATCCTACAATTGTACCAGAAGAGACAAGAACATAATATGATAGAGATCCAAGCATGTCAAAAACATCATTTTATTTTCTTTCTGTATATGTCTTTTGAGTGTTCTGAATACTACCCTTGCCTTTAATGATATAGGAAAAGGAAATAAAACGTTAATCACAGTCTGCCAGGAACTGTGGTCCTTTCTGAATCAAAATAAATTCTTCTAAAACAGTATTTATGAATAGTCCTAGATTCAAGAATTTCTATTATCCTCATTGGCCTTAAATAGAATCTGTGAGAATGGCCCTTTTTCCAAGTAAGTGAACATTGTTCAGTGTAGCCACTTGGAGCCACTGAGTTTATACACCTGTACCTGCATTGATGCAAATGTGCTCTCTTCCTTCTGTGTCTTCATCGGAAAGTCAGCTTAATGACTGGCATGGAATGGATTGGAGCCTGAGAAATTGTGGGCTGATGCTGGAGGTGCCCAGATGGAATGGGAAGCAGGGCTAAACTAGAAAGTCCCTTTCAATTGCTGATACTGGCTTCTTTAATCAACACTTTATGAATATGACGGAGCCATCTCTAAGTCTTTTTTTCCTGGACTAAGGAAAAGCTAATAGCAATTTCCTGTCTTCCTCATGCTCTTCAGTTTTAGGAGATCTCATAGAAGTGCAAGGACACACGGAAGTGCAGAGGGAGTGGCAAAAAGGAAAAGGAAGGTTTTTGAGGAGATGTTATCTGAATATTAGGCCCACAAGTTTTCAAAATATTCATTCTGAGAGAGGGAGAAGGAATATCCATTAAAATTATATGTAGAACGTGTATCCATTCAAATGAATGCTGTCACTGCTAGTGTGAGAGCATTGAGTATAACATCACAGTGGAGACAATCCCCGCTTTCAAGGCATTTACAATGGACAGAAGAACTTATGTAGCATCTGGTATATGGAGTGTGAGAGCAAGGAAAAGCTTTATGTGTGACGGTAAGTAGCCCTCAAAAAGGGGATAGTAAGTGACCTGCTACTGAGGTAATAGCAGATGTTCCGGTGCTCCTCCTGAAATAAATTACGACTGATGCCCAAAATGATATCGTGAATTGTTATCCCTTGCTGTCTTATGTGGCCTTCTCACTGCTGTGCTCTTCTAAAGTGTTACTGGAAAAGTCAGCAAACTCAGTATTTGACAGTGTGAAAGTTTTTCAGATCCCATTCTTTCTTGATGGGAGAGAGAAGGGCCAAACTGAAGCACCTTGTTCCCAGGGGAGAAGGGGACGGGGAAGTTCATTGGTCAGAGATGATTGGTTGCTGGCAATCGAATCTTACTCAAATTAACTCAAATTAAAAACAGGAGTTAACTGGAAAGATTAAGCCAGCAATTTTGCAGACATCCACCAGCAGGAAACAAAGTCCAGCTAGACTTCCTAGCGACCAAAGCTGGGAAAGAGAGAGTCAGAAACTTAAGTCGATTGGTCTCTAGTCTCTGACTCTTTCTTTCTCTCCTTTGTTTTTTGACTCTTCCTCTTCTGACTCTCTTTGCTTTTAAAAAATATTATGGCCGGGTGCGGTGGCTCACGCCTGTAAGCCCAGCACTTTGGGAGGCCGGGGTGGGTGGATCACAAGGTCAGGAGATCGAGACCATCCTGGCTAACATGGTGAAACCCTGTCTCTACTAAAAATACAAAAAAATTAGTCAGGCATGGTGACAGGCCCCTGTAGTCCCAGCAACTGGGGAGGCTGAGGGAGGAGAATGATGTGAACCCAGGGACGTGGAGCTTGCAGTGAGCTGAGATTGCACCACTGCACTCCAGCCTGGGCGACAGAGCGAGACTCCGTCTCAAAAATAAAAAAATAAATAAATAAAAATTAAAAAATAAAATAAATAAATAAATAAAATTATTAATTTCCTGTGAGTGCTGCATACTCTTGCTTTTTAAAAGCTGGTCTGATTTCCTTTGTCCACAGACTTTGGCTTCGTCTGTTTATTTAAAATCTTTCTCTTAAGTAGCTTTGGTTGTCCTTGACATTGGCTTGCATTGGCACCAACCTCAGCCCTGGCTGGATGGGAGCTCTCAGCTGCAGTCCACAGTCACTGACTGTAGTTTCTGTAGCTTGGCTCAGAATCATAAGAGAGAGTCTGATTGCTGTGGTCCACGAGTCTACCCCTGGTCTCATCGGGGTGGGCAAGGCAGACATGGGGTGGGGACAGGGCCACTTAGGCCTGTCCTTTCCAGCAGTGACTGTGAATAGCAGGAATTCTCTGAGATGGGAGCTGGGGAGGCAGCATAAACTCCCCAAAGCATGTCAACTACTACCCAAAAGCAAATGCCTCCTGTTCACAGACTGGTATGGGGCAAGACTTACTTGGAAATGGCAATACCTTATTTGCTATGGCATAAAACCAAGGATAGTCTTTGGAGCATGGATAACAATTTGGAGCATGGGTGACAATTTGGTTTCTGGTTTTTCTTCTACAAATTGCACAGAAAATAAACTGCTGCTCTAATGGTGGCACAGCCATCACAGGGAATCTTTGGGTGAACTGAGGAGACAATGCTAGGGATTAAGGTACTTTTCATTCATTCATCCGATTAACTGTAGCAAGCACCTACTCTGTGCTTTGTGCTAGAAGAGCAGAAGAGTCGTATATCCTCCAAAAGTTTACTGTGCCAATTGCTCTTTGCAGTTTGTGTTTGTTGGCTCTTCACTGAACCACAATTTAGATTTCACCACTGAGAAGTTCCCAAAATACTCTTGGAATCCATTGTACATAAAAATTTCTAAAAGCAGAGTATTAACAAATTTAGATACACAAACAATGACAATTTCTGGCTCTGAAAACTAAGTTCAGTCCAGTGCCTGCAAACCAAAACTAAGCAGAAGGACTAAAATAAACAAAATATTATCAGCCCTGCCTTCCCTTCTTCCCTTAGGCGTGACTTTAATGTGGGCTTCCAGTCATGAGGAAACTCCCTGTGTTTGCTCTAGGCAGATGTTTATATGTGTTTTGATTCTTTAAAATCTAGGGATAAGGAGCTGTAAGAAAAAGGAAGAGGGTGCTCATTTAAGAAGTTGTAATTAAATGTGTGTTTTGAGGGATGTATTTTCTACAGGTACATTTATCTTTATAGACATAAGAGTTATTTTAGGTATTTCTAGTTGATACAGATAGCGAATCAAATTAGGCCTCAGGAGACTTCAGTTCAAGTCCTGACTCTGCCAATATAAATGTAAATGTGGGTAAATCCCTTGCTGCCCATGATCCTCTCCTTCTTTGCTTTTTTTGCCTAATCTACCAAGTTATTAAGGGAATCAACTGAGGGGCTAAATGTCAGGGCTTTTTGAAAGTTGCAAAATGTCATTTAGTAAGTGTTTGAATTCGACT